AGGTGCCCGCCACCCCGCCCAGCTAATTTTTTTGTATTTTTAGTAGAGACAGGGTTTCACCGTGTTAGCCAGGCTGGTCTCGATCTCCTGACTTTGTGATCACCCGCCTCGGCTTCCCAAAGTGCTGGGATTAGGCGTGAGCCACCGTGCCCAGCCTCATTTCTGACTTTTGTAATTTGAGTCTTTTTTCTTTTAGTCAGTCTAGCTAAAGGTTTGTCAGTTTTATTCATCTACTCAGAGAACCATCTCTCGGTTTTGTTCATTTTCCTTATATTTAAGGAAATAACCAGACCAGCAGCTTTCTGCGTCCCCCTGGAGTCCTGCTGTGGTTCTGGAAGTTGCCTCTCATTCTTTCTGTTGAGTGGCCAGTGCACGTGGGGGCTCCTGCATCTCCCCTTCATCAGAGTAGCTCTGCCTTTACCTGTTTGGCATTTCCATGTAACATTTCTTTTGAAAAGTTGGTTTACTGCTAAAGTACAGTGAAACCCCACAGAACAAAACTGGAGCCACATGCATTAACATTGATACATAAAAAACAATCTTGAGGGAACATCTAGTTGCAAAAAGATACATATGTATGAAATGATAACAATGTAAACTTTGCAAATGTGCAGAATAATATGGTATGTTGCCTAGAGATCCACCTCTCTTCCTTAATAATATAAACTCTTACATGGAAATGGAAAATGTCAAATACAGGTTGGTAACTACCTAGGAGGAGGCAGGTAGAGAACCAGAATGGGGAGGGTTTCAACTCTGTTATATGACCAAATGTCGGAATTTGGTGGATCTCTGGGTAGTGTCTCTGGGTAGTGTCTGTGTGGTTATTCCTTATGTCCTATATGTCACTAAGCTGGCTTTGCAGCCTGCCAGGTGTGAGTGACCTTGGGCAGGCTATTTTTTTTTTTTTTGAGACGGAGTCTTGCTCTGTCGCCCAGGCTGGAGTGCAGTGGACGGATCTCGGCTCACTGCAAGCTCCACCTCCCGGGTTTACGCCATTCTCCTGCCTCAGCCTCCCGAGTAGCTGGGACTACAGGCACCCGCCACTATGCCCGGCTAATTTTTTGTATTTTTAGTAGAGACAGGGTTTCACCATGTTAGCCAGGATGGTCTCGATCTCCTGACCTTGTGATCTGCCCGCCTCAGCCTCCCAAAGTGCTGGGATTACAGGCGCGAGCCACCACGCCCGGCCTTAATATACTTTTTTAAAGACAGATTTCATTATCTGAAATGAGCTACATATTCTTTTAAAATATCTTTAGTTGAAGTCTGCTTTTCTTTTTAGCTATGCAAAAACAAATAAAAGTGCAATTTTGGTAAGATAAAATGGGATTCCTTTAGTCTGAGCTGAACTTTGTTGGAACATTTTTTGTTTAGTAAACACAAACGGTTTGCCTATGAAGAATTTATGAATTTCCGGCTGTCCTGGGAGGAAAAGCCTGTGGCCTGTGATAATGTGACAGAGACTGTTTTTAAAAGGACCTATCTTTTTTTTCTTTTTTTGAGACAGGAGTCTTGCTCTGTCCCCAAGGCGAAGTGCAGTGGACGCGATCTCGGCTCACTGCAAGCTCCCCTCCCGGTTTACTGCCATTCTCCTGCCTCAGCCTCCCGAGTAGCTGGGACTACAGGCAGCCCGCCACCTAAGCCCGGCTGGAATTTTTTTTTGTATTTTAGTACGAGACGAGGGTTTCACCATAGTTAGCCCAGGGATGTCTCAGATCTCCTGACCATTGTGGTTG